TTTTCGCCAGAAAATCCGACACTATCCTTATGGCTCATAGCCATTCTGAATCGTTTGAGACCAAAATTATCAACTGAATTGTAAAAATGATATATCGACTGATACCTTTTGATTAATTACATTTTGCACTGATATGCTAATTATGAAGAAACGCCTCGGCCGATCGAAAAAATGAACATTAGTGCTAACGCAGATACAACAAATGGCTCTTAAATTTTTGAAATCGGTTCAGCCGTTTTAGAAAAAACGTCGACAGATGCACATAAATTTTTCTTTCAAATCGGTTCGCTTTCGATTGAAAATGACTTCAAACGTCGAGAAAAAAACAAAACTACCACCTCCTTCCTTCCTAAGTAGAGACAAGTTCTACGAGCTCTTCAGGACGTAATATTAAGACCACAATGATGCAATTTCAGACTTCAATATTTAAATACATGTACTATAACTTGGCATAATAAAAGTAGTATACTTTTGTTTTCTATGGCATATTTCACTAATTGTAGGAGAACATAATCCGAGTCCGAGAAGTAGAGACAAATTTAGAGAGCTCTCCAGGACGTAATATCAGGACCACAATGATGCAATTTTAGACTTCAATATTTAAATACATATACTAAAACCTGGCATAATAAAAGTAGTAAATTTTTGTTTTCTATGGGATATTCCACTAATTGTAGGAGAACACGATGGACTATTCCGAGAAGTAGAAACAAATTTAGAGAGCTCTCCAGGACGTAATATTAGGACCACAATGACGCAATTTTGGACTTTTATATCTTAAAATATGTACTAATACCTGACATAATAAGAGTAGTATATTTTTGTTTTCTATTAGATATGTCACTAATTGTAAGAGAAAATGATGGACTATTCTGGGAACAAATTCAGAGACAAATTCAGCCAGCTCTCCAGGACGTAATATTAGGACCACAATGATGCAATTTGGGACTGTTATATTTGAGTATATGTACTAAAACCTGACATAATAAAAATAGTATAAATTTTGTACAAAATCGACATTTCTACAGTTGTATGGGTAAAATTCACAATTTTCAGTGGTTTTATGCATTTCAGCAATTGTAGCAAGGCAAATCTCCCCTACACACACACACAAATATATATATATATATATATATATAAGTATATATAAGAGTCTTCTCTTCTTTTATACTCTGAGCGCCCTTTTTCGATTGATTAGCATAATTTATATGCAAATCTTTTCAAAGAAGAAAATTGCTTACATATACATACAATTACATATATATATATACATACATATATACATATACACGTATATACGTACACATATATACACTTATACGTATACAAAAAATCCTTTGAATAAGTACGAATACGTGTCAATTATTTTTGTGCCTTTTTTAAAAATATAAGAATTATTCGTACAGGATTATGTTATGAGACAAAAATGTACATAATTTTGTTTTCTAGTAATTTGTAAAAACTGCGTTTCATTTTGTTTTTTTTTTGATTAAAAATTGTGTTTGAAAATATAAAAAATGTCAACGCCCTTTGAAATGGTTATTGAAATGAATTCGAATTTTAAGAGTGATTTATTTATAGAAGATAATATAAGATAATAGAGTGATTTATTTATATAAGATAATATTATTTGACAAAAATGTAGATAATTTAATACTCTCTAATTCATCTAAAGACAATATTTTATATTGTTGAGCTATTCAAAAGTTCCTTTGCATATTTTAAAAAATGTCTTTATATAAAGTTTTACAATAACTGTTTTTAATGTTTTGTTAATAAAAAAATATTCCTACAAAATTATATCGTATCAGGAACATATAGGTAATATTATAGACAACAAATTTATCAAAGATAGAATTTAATTTTATTTGTTAGTATAAAAGTTACAATTGCAGATATTTAAAAAAGTTCAGACTTTGACAATATTAACCAAACACAGAAATATTTTTTTTAACAACGCGCATTCTTGCGAGAGTAGAGTGGTTGTATACTAAAATATATTTTCATCCTTACGACGTAGAAAAAAATTCTAAATACCCAGTAAAACCATTTCTAGAACAAGAACACTTTGGCCACCACTGATAACTCCATTCTATTATCGCCGCATGTTGGCCAGCACCGGCTTGATTACTTTTATCAATCGACAATTTGCAACTGATATGATAACGATAAATTTATTAGATATAATTGAATGTGTTGTGTACTTGTCACATTGTGCAAAGTCAAATTAGTAAATAAAATAGTGAGATGTTTAGTGATAAATAAAAAAATATAAATGGTTAAAATGTAAATGAAAAAGTTTCATATCTACAATGGCAAGTAATCTGCCAAAGTCTGATGCAGATGTGCAACAAGAAGATATCTTTCAAGCCATCAGAAATAATGATTTGCCAAAAGTCCAAAGTCTGCTCAACTCCTGCAGTGTTCATTTATTAAATATTGTGGATAAATCCAATAAAAACAATACACCTCTGCATTATGCCGTAGAAGAGAACAGATATGAAATAGTCCAGGAACTATTATTGGAAAAGTCGAGAACAAATATAAACGCGCAGAATGACGATGGTGATACTGCCCTGCACGTTGGCGCCAAGAAGAACTCTGATCGGCTGATGTATTTGCTCCTCAAAAAAGGAGCAATCTGCGATGCTGTCAACAAGGATGGTAAAACATTTCTGGATGTTGTCAGGATATTGGCAACCCAAACGGGTTTCTGCAAAAGCAAGGACAAAATTGAAAAAAGCATGGATAAATCTAACCAACCGCAACCATCTGGAATAGTTACAGGTAAAATATAAGAAGTTTTTACTACACCATTATTTTACTAATATGTATGTAATAAGTATGACTTTGTCGTGAATTTCTGGTTTAATTATAACTTTCAGCACAAATAAATTAAAACCAATAACTTATCTAGTAATCGTTAAAACATCAAAATATAATTTATTTGGTTTTTAGGGCAAAGCGAAGAGCAGAAAATGCAAGAAGTTGATAAAAAGGATACAAATCATGTAGTCCATAACAAAAAAACAAATAGTATCTCCACCTTTATTAGACAGAAATGCTAAAATAAACAATATTACCAATAAAAACTGGTCTCTTCTGCACGTTGCGGCACACAACGGAGAAATAGCAAGGGTTCGATACTTAGTAGGCCTTGGTGCCAAAATAGATGCCAAAAGTGATGACAAGTTGACACCACTCCATTTTGCTGCTATGAATGGATTTAAAGATGTGGTTCAACTACTGATAGACAAAGGAGCGAATATTGAAGCTATCGACGATAAACGACGGACGCCATTATATGTCGCATCTCAAAATGGTCACTTGGAGGTAGTGCAGTTTCTGATTAGTAAAGGTGCTAATGTTCATGCCGCTAATGATACAAATTGGACACCCTTGCACATCGCATCCGGAGAAGGTCACTCGGTAGTAGTGAAGTTTTTGATTAGTAAAGGCGCCAATGTCAATGCAGCTTATAACACAAACTGGACTCCATTGCACTTTGCATCTCGAAATGGTCGCTTGGAGGTAGTGCAGTTTTTGATTAGTAAAGGCGCAAATATCAATGCTATTGAAGAAAAAAATTGGACACCATTGCACATCGCATCTGAAAATGGCCACTTGGAAGTAGTGCAGTATCTAATTAGTGAAGGCGTAAATGTCAATGTTGTTGAAGAGGAAAATTTGACTCCATTGCACGTTGCATCTCATAATGGTCACTTGGAGGTAGTGCAGTTTCTGATAAGTAAAGGCGCCAATGTCAATGCCGTTGATAACACAAATTGGACTCCATTGCACATCGCATCTGGAAATGGCCACTTGGAGGTAGTGCAGTTTCTAATTAGGGAAGGCGTAAATGTCAATGTTGTTGAAGTGGAAAATTTGACTCCATTGCACGTTGCATCTCATAATGGTCACTTGGAGGTAGTGCAGTTTCTGATAAGTAAAGGCGCCAATGTCAATGCCGTCGATAACATAAATTGGACTCCATTGTACATCGCATCCAGAAAAGGTCACTCGGAGGTGGTGCAGTTTCTGATTAGGAAAGGCGCCAATATCAATGCCGCTAATAACACAAATTGGACTTCATTGCACATTGCATCTCGAAATGGTCACTTGGAGGTAGTGCAACTTCTGATTAGTGAAGGCGCCAATGATAACGCTGTTACTGATGAATATGAGACTCCGTTGCACATTGCATCTAGAAATGGTCACTTGAGGGTAGTGCAGTATTTGATCAGTAAAGGCGCAAATGTTAATGCTGTTGAAGAGGAAAATTTGACTCCGTTGCACATCGCATCTCAAAATGGTCACTTGGAGGTGGTGCAGTTTCTGATTAGTAAATGCGCCAATGTCAATACCGCTGATAAAACAAATTGGACTCCATTGCACTTTGCATCTCGAAATGGTCACTTGGAGGTAGTGCAGTTTTTGATTAGCAAAGGCGCTTATGTTAACTCTGCCGATTGGTTGAAAGAAACACCATTGTACAAAGCAGTTCAAAATGATCACTTTGATGTAGCCCAAGAATTAATTACTAAAGGCGCCAATGTCTATACTGTTATTGAACAAAACCAGACTCAACTGTACATTGCATCTCAAAAGGGTCACTTGAAGGTAGTGCAGTTTCTGATTAGTGAAGGCACCAATGTCAATGCTGTTGAAGAGGAAAATTGGACTCCCTTGTACATCGCATCCGGAGAAGGTCACTTTGAGGTAGTAAAGTTCCTGATTAGTAAAGGCGCCAATATCAATGCCGCCAATAACATAAACTGGACTTCATTGCACATTGCATCTCGAAATGGTCACTTGGAGGTAGTGCAGCTTCTGATTAGTGAAGGCGCCAATGATAACGCTGTTACTGATGAATATGAGACTCCGTTGCACATTGCATCTAGAAATGGTCACTTGAGGGTAGTGCAGTATTTGATCAGTAAAGGCGCAAATGTCAATGCTGTTGAAGAGAAAAATTGGACACCATTGCACATCGCATCTCAAAATGGTCACTTGGAGGTGGTGCAGTTTCTGATTAGTAAATGCGCCAATGTCAATACCGCTGATAAAACAAATTGGACTCCATTGCACTTTGCATCTCGAAATGGTCACTTGGAGGTAGTGCAGTTTTTGATTAGCAAAGGCGCTTATGTTAACTCTGCTGATTGGTTGAAAGAAACACCATTGTACAAAGCAGTTCAAAATGATCACTTTGATGTAGCCCAAGAATTAATTACTAAAGGCGCCAATGTCTATACTGTTATTGAACAAAACCAGACTCAACTGTACATTGCATCTCAAAAGGGTCACTTGAAGGTAGTGCAGTTTCTGATTAGTGAAGGCACCAATGTCAATGCTGTTGAAGAGGAAAATTGGACTCCCTTGTACATCGCATCCGGAGAAGGTCACTTTGAGGTAGTAAAGTTCCTGATTAGTAAAGGCGCCAATATCAATGCCGCCAATAACATAAACTGGACTTCATTGCACATTGCATCTCGAAATGGTCACTTGGAGGTAGTGCAGCTTCTGATTAGTGAAGGCGCCAATGATAACGCTATTACTGAAAAATATGAGACTCCGTTGCACATTGCATCTAGAAATGGTCACTTGAGGGTAGTGCAGTATTTGATCAGTAAAGGCGCAAATGTCAATGCTGTTGAAGAGAAAAATTGGACACCATTGCACATCGCATCTGAAAATGGCCATTTGGAGCTAGTGCAGTTTCTGATTAGTGAAGGCGCCAATGTCAATGCTGTTGGAGAGGAAAATTGGACTCCCTTGTACATCGCATCCGGAGAAGGTCACTTTGAGGTAGTAAAGTTCCTGATTAGTAAAGGCGCCAATATCAATGCCGCCAATAACACAAATTGGACTTCATTGCACATTGCATCTCGAAATGGTCACTTGGAGGTAGTGCAGCTTCTGATTAGTGAAGGAGCCAATGATAACGCTGTTACTGAAAAATATGAGACTCCGTTGCACATTGCATCTAGAAATGGTCACTTGAGGGTAGTGCAGTTTTTGATTAGTGAAGGCGCCAATGTCAATGCCGCTGATAACACAAATTGGACTTCATTGCACATTGCATCTCAAAATGGTCACTTGGAGGCGGTGCAGTATCTTATTAGTAAAGGCGCCAATGTCAATGCCGTTGATAACACAAATTGGACTCCATTGCACATCGCATCTCAAAATGGTCACTTGGCGGTAGTGCAGTTTTTGATTAGTAAAGGCGCCAATGTCAATGCCGCTGATAACACAAATTGGACTTCATTGCACATTGCATCTCAAAATGGTCACTTGGAAGTAGTGCAATTTCTGATTAGTAAAGGCGCCAATGTCAATGCCGCTAATAATACAAATTGGACTTCCTTGCACATCGCATCTGAAAATGGCCACTTGGAGGTAGTGCAGTTTCTGATTAGCAAAGGCGCTGATGTTAACTCTGCTGATTGGTTGAAAGAAACACCATTGTACAAAGCAGTTCAAAATGATCACTTTGATGTAGCCCAAGAATTAATTACTAAATGCGCCAATGTTTATACTGTTAATGAACAAAACCAGACTCAACTGTACATTGCATCTCAAAAGGGTCACTTGAAGGTAGTGCAGTTTCTGATTAGTGAAGGCGCAAATGTCAATGCTGTTGAAGAGCAAAATTGGACTCCATTGCATATCGCATCTAAAAATGGCCACTTGGAGTTAGTTCAGTTTCTAATTAGTAAAGGCGCCAATGTCAATGCTGTTGATAACATAAATTGGACTCCATTGCACATTGCATCTCAAAATGGTCACTTGGAGTTAGTGCGGTTTCTGATTAGTAAAGGCACCAATATCAATGCCGCTGATAAAACAAATTGGACTCCATTGCACATCGCATCTTATAATGGTCACTTAAAGGTAGTGCAGTTTCTGATTAGTAAAGGCGCCAATGTCAATGCCGTTAATAACACAAATTGGACTCCATTGCACAGTGCATCTGAAAAAGGTCACTGGAAGGTAGTGCAGGTTCTGATTAGTAAAGGCGCCAATGTCAATGCCGTTAATAACACAAATTGGACTCCATTGCACAGTGCATCTGAAAAAGGTCACAGGAAGATAGTGCAGGTTCTGATTAGTAAAGGCGCCAATGTCAATGCCGTTAATAACACAAATTGGACTCCATTGCACAGTGCATCTGAAAAAGGTCACAGGAAGGTAGTGCAGGTTCTGATTAGTAAAGGCGCCAATGTCAATGCCGTTAATAACACAAAGTGGACTCCATTGCACAGCGCATCTGAAAAAGGTCACTTGGAAGTAGTGCAGTTTTTGATTAGTAAAGGCGCGATTGTAAATATTTTCAATTCATATAAGTGGACCCCCCTGCACTGGGCAACCTATAATGGTCACAAAAATGTCGTCCAACTATTAATAAAGAAAGGCGCAATTACTAATGTAGCAGATGCCAATGACAACACGCCGATGGACTTTGCTGTTGAAAGAGGATATAAAGAAATTGTTGAGCTACTGCAAACTAAAACACACAAATAATATGATACTCCAAATAATATTTAGAAATAAACAGAATTTTTTTATGTATTGCATCGCAACGTGTTCTAAAATAAAATAATTTAATAAAACACTTCACATTGTATTTGTACAGTTACTAAATGTCTGCAGACTTTTCAGACTAACATTCTTTCGTGTCTGCACCTGTTTGCAGACATAATATAAATGCAGAGGTATAATATCCATATTTTTATAATCGTTCATGCAAATACATTCAGTAATTAACATTTGAATTCGTGATAAGTTTGTTTATAAATAATAGCATCCAATCGAATTCAGACTGATCTAGATGATTGACGAATGAACATCTCAACATTTAAGCCAATATTATTGTAGTTATTCTCTAGTATACAATTCTCTTGTAAACAATTGCAAAATGACAACAGAAATACATTTTCATAAATGTAATCAGTTTTTCATGTTTTATTGCTCTACACAGTTGACATAAATAAAATAAATGACAACAAAATAAGCGTCTACTTTTTTCTGAAAAAGATGTTTTCACTATATGTACTTAATTCCTATTCATTTCCAAAGTATACACTTAACTTCATCCCTAATCAAATTATTTTCCAGCTACTTTACAATAAGGACAATGTTGCCAAGTCAACTGTCAACAATCCTTGATGCATTATCTTCAAGAAATTGAAGTAAAACTTCTTTTGAAACGTAAAAATTAAACACTAATGAATATAAATGACAAAGATTGCTTCGAGAGTTTTCTTTGCAGGAACAAAAAAAAATAGATATATCACTTAAAGTCATTTAATTTCAGAGAAGAATCTGTTCAGACGGATATAAATGATAGAATAATATATATATATATATATATATATATATATATATATATATATATATATATATAATAAGTACTTTAATCCCATAGATAGCGCCAGTATCATCACCATAGGATAGCAACAAATGTATTTTGTTATCAATAACAAAAACCAATTTTGCCAAAGGATTTTAACCTTTTTTAATATAAATTAAAATCGAACAAAATTATGTTATTAGACAAAAATGTAGATCATTTTCAGCTTTGTTTAACTTTGCTTAAACTTGTATTAAATTTTGGTTTTTAGTTTAAAAGTTTTGGTTGCAAATATAAAAATTTGTCCGAAGGTTTTTGACAAGTTTCTTAGATAACAAAACAACTAGGTTGCGATCTGATTTGAAAATATTTCCGAGAAAATGATATCTGTATTAAATTATCTATATAATTATCGCAGAAAACTACAGATAACTTATTGGTATCAAAATTTTATTTGCGTTTAAAATTAAAGCTAAAAATATTTTTTTCTTGAATTCAATTATATAACTAAATTTTTATACAAAAGTATAGATAATTTTATACTTTAAAACTTTTATTAAGACTTCATTTAAATCTGTTACTTATTTCAAAAGTTATAAATAAAAATATAAAAAAACGTACGCGCCATTTCGAACAACATGACTTCATTTCCAAACGTGTGCAATTTTGAAGCCTATTTAATAATAATAATAATTGTAAATACTAATATTGTACAACAAAAATGTAGTAAATTTTATTGTGTACAAATTTATGAATGGATCATTGTTGCGCGTTATGAGTGTGTCTATTGTTTAGTTTAAATAATGAAAACAGTATTTAATTTTATTCATTGGTTTTATAGCTATTATTCAAAATACAAAGTAAATGTCCCAGACATGCTGCTTTATGAAACATCAAATTCAAATACAATTTTTTGGTATAATAAAAATTGTACTAAATAATAATGTTAGAATAAAATGTACTGAATTTTATAGCCGACAAATCCTTCATAGACTGTAATTAATTTTGTATAACTAATTTGAAAGAAGTTATGATTAAAAGTACAAACAAATGTCTTGTGATTAGGAATAAGCATCAGAATTTAATTATATTTGTTGGTTTAAAAGTTATTATTGAAAATATGAAAAAATGTTCATGGTTTGTATATAATATACACTACTATACTTATTACAGGGTGTTTATAGAAGTCGGGTTAAGGAGTTGTGTAACCCTTTCTTAATGGGAATGCAACGCTATGATGTAATATTTGGTAGTCGTTGCAATACCCCAGAAAGGGAGCAATCAACCCCTCATTAATCCGTCACAATATATAAAGTTATACTTATATGTATAAATAGAGCTAGACAAAATGTTAGGTATGCTAAAACTCAAAAACGGCTGAACCGATTTGGCCACTCTCAGTCTTGAAAAAATCGTGCTAATCCAGAGATTCTGGGAAAGGTAAGAGAGCGTAATCTTCTTATATATAAATATGGAGCTCAATATTATGTTAGGTACGCTGAAACTCGAAAATGACTGAACCGATTTGGCCACTCTCAGTCTTAAAAAAATCTTGCTAATCCAGAGATTGTAGGAAAGGTGAGAAATTATTTCAAAACCGCTTTAAAACTTAAAATTTATTGTGCAATCGTAATTAAAAATGAAACAATTAGAAACATAAAGAAATACTATAAGGAAATTGAAGACAAAGAAGGAAGAGGAGTTATATATAAAGATATTTTAATTATAATAGATATTATATTGATGAAATAGTCAAATGAAATGTATTTATAAAATATGGAAACTGTTTTTCATACTCTCTCATACCAGGCACCTCTGTCTTAGTAAATAGAAAATTTAATAGGATGTTTTAGATGAATATTATTTATTGTAGTAAGTAGTTTTATTTGCACAGAAAAACATTTTTAAATGGCTCTCAAGTGTTATTATATATAATTGTGTATAAGTGTGTTTAGATGTGTATAAATAGAGAAAAATGTGTATAAAAGTGTATAAGCATACCCATATTGTGGCAAGTCGACGCCAATATTGGCCAGACCATACAAATATTGGCAAGTTTTACTTTTATTATTTGTAGAAATAAGTTAAAATAGAGTAGAAATTATTATAGAAAATTATGTGTAATGCACATTTAAACTGGCAATTTGCTATTTGAATTATATTTCGATTTAATTGTATATCTATTATAATATGTGTACGATTTATTGTAGTAAATAGTTTTATTTTATTGAAAAAACGTTACTAAACGGCTAGCAATTGTTATTAGAACTCAAAATATCAACGTTTTTAAAATGTTTGAAATGGCAATTTTTGGATTCTCTAGAAATTATTTACGTAATAAAACAACGTTTGCCGGGTCAGCTAGTATATATATATATATCAAATTTTAGTTCTAATTTTCTAAGTAGCTTTATAAATTATATAATATAATAAAATACAATCTGCCATATGCGAAGTTTATTATTAATCTTAAGAAATCCATTTTCTTTGATGATATAATTAAGTTTTGGAACTTTCAAAAGTTTTAAATGGAATTGACATATGAATGCTTCCAGTTACAATTTATATATATATATATATATATATATATATGTATATATACATTTATGTGGGACTATTGGAAAGTTTCTGTCTATTGAGTAAAATCACAAGTTTGTTGAATTAAAGTTTGAGAATTCTAACACGACTTGACAAAGATGGATAAAAGATATATATATATATATATATATATATATATATATATATATATATATATATACAGAAGTTTTCTCCTAAGTTGCAACAACTTAAATTAAATACCAACTACTCCTGTTCTTCAATACATATGTGTATATATATAAAGAAAATGAAAGAGCATTTTTCGAACGCAGTTTTTAATAGTGAATTTTATTTATATCAAGATATGATGTAGGACAAAAATGTACAGAGTTTTATAGGCTTTAATTCGTCCAAAGATAGTTTTAGGCTATATGAATTAGTTTTTAAGTTATACGTTAAAATATGAAAGAATATCCCAAGCAGTAACAATACTTACTACTGAACGAACTAAGAACAATTTTTAACTTCCCGAAGGAGAAGTTTATGTTTTCATAAAAAAATCCGATTTGCTAATTTTTTGTTTTCTCGACGTTTCAAGCCATTCTGAATCGAATGGGACCAAATTTGGAAAAAGTATATGTGTGTGTGAACAGATTTTTTGCCGTAAATCGACGTTTTCTCAAAAAAACGGCTGGACCGATTTTAAAAATTTAAAAGCCATTCGATGTATCTCAATGAGCACTATCGTTCGACAGTTTTGCGCTACGATCGGCCGAGCCGATTATAAAAATTCAAAAACCGTTCGAAAGATATTGGTTGGGAATCGTGCTGATTGGTTATTGGTAGAGATCGGCCGGGCCGTTTTCTTATAATAAAGTGTTAAAAAAAATTTTCGCCGATTTTTTATTATTTTTTTACGATAGATACCATAGTCTTCTAGATCATACTAAAATATTACGGCCCTACGATAACTCATTTAACTTTAAAAATTCGTCAAAGTTTGCAAAAATTGGTATCGTTTTTTTGCCATTAGACCTTTCATCGACGTTTTCTCAAAAAAGCCTGAACCGATTTCAGAAATTTAAAAGCCGCTTGATGTATCTCGATGAGGACTGTCGTTTATCAGTTTTGTGCGACGATCTGCAAGCCGTTTCTTTGTCATTTGGAAAAAAGTGTTAGACGTGTGGATTTTAAAAACTGAAAAACTGTTCAAAAGATATTAGTTGGGAATTATACTGATTAGTTTTAATTGAAAATATACCGAGCCGTTTTCTTGCAATTAACTGTTGAAAAAAAATTAAGCCGATTTTTACGGAACTTTTTTTTGGCGATATATATCATGGTCTTATAGAACTTACTGAAATATTAAGGTCTTACGACAAATAGTTTAATTTTAAAAATTCATCAAAGTTTGAGATAGTTTATCTATTTATTTGCATAGATTTATTGCCGATCAAAATAATATACATTTTAAGACAATATGCTGAGTGTAAATGCATTCAAGAGATTATCTCCTATGAGATATCTTTTTTTATTTAAGATCGTATAGACATTCTTTTTTCAATATTCGAGTAGGAGATTCCTCGCTTAATTCTTTTAGATATTTGTTTGGGTGATAATTTTTCGTGGTACTTTTTGCTCCTTTCTTTTTATCATTTCATTAATAGTTTTAATTTTTAATTCTTTATGTAGAGTGTTATTTGCAATATACCGTTCACAATGCATCTTAAAATTTTCGATTGCGCTCTTTGTATTATTTTCATATTTGAATTGCTTGCGCACGCCCATAGCTCAATTCCGTATGTCCAGATTGGGATAATTGTTGTTTTATATAAAAAGAGTTTGTTTTCATAACACATATTTGAATTTCTGCCAATTAGCCAATACAAAAGTTTGAGATAATAAGTAGTTTTTTGGACGTTTGTTAAAATTAAAATTAGACGATTTACTTGGTATGACGATAGAGTACTTGAACCTAATGAACATACTAAACCATTAAAGTCCTACGGAAACTGGTTCAATTATAGAAATTATTGATTTCAGAAAATCTGCTTTTAGAAAATACTCCGAGTCAAAGCGTTCGTTAATTTTTCAATCATGTGTAATAAATAAAAGTAATCCACTCGGAATACTTTTAATCACCCATAAATTAATTTATTTTTTATTGATTAAGTCGATTATTAAATATATCAGGAGGTTCATGTAACTTGCCTCAAGGCAAAATACCAAACCAACTAGTTTATCATAAAATCTAACAATTATTGTATATGATATTCGTACATTTAAGAATATTTTTTGTTTCTTTCAAGACTATCGTTTAGTTTAATATTCATCAATGTTTGAATTTTTAATATTGGCGTAATATCAAATATAAAATTCATATGAACGCGACGTCTGAAAAGCACGTTATCACCTGATCACTAATTAATTTAGAAGACACTGATTAGATTACTTTATCAATCTTACTACTGACATCATAATAATAATTTTATTAGATAGACAATGGAATTATACTTATCACATTGTGTAATGCCAAATGGATAACATTAGTTGGTTAATTAAAACTCTTGCTACTAGTTTTTAATTTTAATAAATTTTTAGTCAACAATGGCAAATAATCATCCAACGTCTACTGCAAAAGTGCAACAGGAAGTTATCTTCCAGGCGATCAGAGACCACGATTTATCAAAGGTCCAAAGTATGCTCAACTCTTGCTGCATAGAACCCAAGAGCATTAGAGACAGTGCCAAAAAGAACAATACTCTACTTCATTGCGCCGTGGAAGAAAACTCAGAAAAAATAGTTCAGGAATTGCTACTGAAAAAGTGGAAATTAAAATTAAATGAGCAGAATGACGATGGTGACACTGCTCTGCACATTTGCGCCAAAAAGAACTCTGATCGACTAATACATTTGCTCCTGAAAAAAAGAGCATTCAGCGATATTGTCAACAAGAAGGGCATGACATTTCTAGATATTGTCAAAAGATCGGAGGATCAAACGGAAATCCACAAATCCATCCGCCATGTTGTGAATGGCTTTGATAAATCTAACCAACCGGGGCCATCTGGTGGAGTTACAGGTGAAATAAAAAATCTTTCACTGATTTGTAAGAACAAAAAAATATGCTTGAAGTGTTTTTTAAACAACCGTCGTTAGCACTTTCAATATCAAAATATAATTTATTTCTATTTTTAGGTAAAACGCAGGAAATAACAATATGTGATCAAAAGGAAATTGCTAAGGATACTAATGTCAACAGTAACGAAGCATCAAAATGGACTCAATTGCACGATGACGCTGAAAAAGGCGAATTACAAGGGGTGAAGTATCTGATTAGAAGAAGTGGCTTCGACGTCAATGTCGCTACTGAAGACAAAAGGACACCATTGCATATTGCATCTCAAAATGGCCACTTAAAAGTAGTCCAGTATTTAATTAGTAAAGGTGCCAATGTAAATGCCGCTAACGCAAAGAGGGAGACTCCATTGCACAATGCAGCTGAAAATGGTCACTTGCATATAGCGCAATTTCTGATTAGTCAAGGTGCTGAAACAAATGCCTATGACGAGAAAATGTGGACTCCATTGCACAAGGCATCTCAAAAAGGTCACTTGTCAGTTGTGCAGTATCTAATTAGTAAAGGCGCCGATGTCAATGCTTTTACTATAACATCTGATTTTCCATTGCATCTTGCAGTAGAGAATGATCACTTAGATATTGTTCAGATCCTAATTAGTAATGGCGCCAAAATCATAGGTAATAATCAATGTTGGACTCCACTGCACTTAGCGGCCGATAAAGGCTACTTGAATGTTGTCAACTATTTGATAGCAAAAGGCGCCAGAGTTGATGCTCGAGCTAGAACAATTGGTACTGCGTTGCACATAGCAGCAGAAAAAGGCCACTTCGATATTGTTCAGTGTCTGATTAGTAATGGTGCCAATGTAAATGATGCTACTGACAAAAAATGGACACCATTGCACTTATCAGCCGAAAAGGGTTACTTGAAGATTGTCCAGCTTTTGATTACAGAAAAGGTGCAGATGTCAACGCCCTCACTGATAATGAGACAGAATGCATGCCGTTGCATATGGCAGCAGAAAATGGTCATTTGGATGTTGTGCAGTGTTTATTTGCTCATGGCGCCAAAGTCAATGTTGGTTTCAAGAGCTGGTCGACTCCATTGCAATTAGCAACTACTAACGGTCACATCGCTGTAGTAAAGTTTCTCATAAGTAAAGGCGCCAATGTTAATGATAGTTGTATTTTGAAAAATACGCCATTACACTGTGCAGCAGGAAATGGTCACTTGGAAATAGTACAGTATCTTATCATTAAAGGCGCACGTGTTAATGATGCTTCTGTATATCTTTTTACACCATTGCATATGGCAGCAATGCATGGCTACAAAAATATCGTCCAAGTATTAGTGGACAATGGTGCAAATATTGCTGCGGTAGATAACTTTTATAGGACACCCATACGCATTGCTGATGAATTCGGCTACACAGAAATCGTTGAAATATTGAAAAAAACTAATCATTGACATAAAATTTAGAAAAAGCTAATTTAAGCAGTTTTGTTTCACAGAGAGAATTAAAATAATTGGATAAAACAATTTAGTTTCCACAAACTAAAAAATGCTTACATAGACGTTTCTGTCTGGAATTTATTTACGCCTGCACTATTTCTAGCAATATTAAATTAATATTTTAATAATAATTTATACAAAAGTGAATTATTATTAGAATATTAATTTAATATTGCAACAGATTAATATATTGAAGAGAATAAGATAAATGAAAAAAAATATAAATTAATAATGATGTTTATATAAGATTGTGTAAAATATATTATAAGAGTTGGTGTTTTTGTATTATCAAAAATTAAATGTAATTTAAATAAAATATTAAAGAATGTGTAGTATATAAGTAACTGTTTTTGAAAATACACTGAAGATGAGGCGTACCATGGTCTCGAAACGTCTGTAATTACTAAATAAAGTGTGTGTTAGAAATCTGAGTGTTGTATTAATATTCGTTCCACTCATATCACAAAATTCTGTATATATACACACACACACACACACATATATATATATATATATATATATATATCTTCTATATATATAAAAATAAGTCGGGTTTTCCTTCCTGACGAAATAACTCCAGAACGCACGAACCGATTTCAATTTTGCATTCGTTGGAAAGGTCTCGGGCTCCGCAAGGTTTATAGCTAAGGAGATTAGTGGTGATGTAAAGGACCTTTACATCTGGCCGACAGAACTCCATATCAGTGTGTTTAAGTCTTGTGTAGTCGTAACATCTACAAATATCCTCCAAAAAAAAATCGAGGTTTTAACAAAAAAATATTAGTGATATGGATATATAAATTATTACAGGTAAATAATTTTTGCTTCTCAATTTTATATAAAACCTTTTTTAGTTAATTCTTATTACTCTTTACCCCGGTACATAATCCATTCCTTTATAAAATTTTTTTTCTAATTAATCAGTATTGACCATCATTAATTAATGTTATCAATATTTTTAAAAAAACATTGTATTTGACAGAATAAACCTGATGATGGAACGTACCTAGTTCCGAAACGTCGTATTAAACATCTTCTAAAAACAAATTGTTTTTTATTATTGGATTTACTGTTCGGAAAAGAAACAATCAATATATATATATATATATATATATATATTTATATAATATACATTTAAATACTTCCATTTAAATTCAAAACCTTTTAATCCTGACTTTTGTCTTTTATAGGTTAAGCTAGTCATAAATGGCGGATTATATACACATATATACTTATACATACAAACATACATACATACATATATATATATATATATATATATATATATATATATATACATGTATATATAATTCCCCAATTAAAGCCCGCCAGGAACATTTCAAGTTAATCCAGACAGTTTTACAAGCAGTCACAAAACATAATCCACACTCTCTCGTTTAAGTTTTCAACAATTTATTAAAATTATAAATTACAACTGTAACATTTAATTTCAACAAATTATGAGTAAGAGTCCCTGAATCGGTTTGGCATACTCTAAAATACTAAAACCGATGATGAATCGTGGGTTTTTGTATTGCATAAGTGTTTAAAGTGTGTTTGAATGTGTTCAATGAATATAACTGTGTATAAAATTGTATAATTGTGTATAAAATTGTATACATGTGTAAAAAAGTGTATAAAGTGTGTATAAGTGTATAAAGTGTGTAAAGTGTGTAAAGTGTGTAAGGTATGTAAATTGTGTAAAGTGTATAAAGTGTATAAGTGTATAAGTGTATAAGTGTATAAGTGTGTAAAGTGTGTAAAGTGTGTAAAGTGTGTAAAGTGTATAAAGTGTATAAAGTGTATAAAAGTGTATAAAAGTGTATAAAAGTGTATAAAAGTGTATAAAAGTGTATAAAAGTGTATAAAAGTGCATAAAAGTGTATACAAGTGTATAAAAGTGTATAAAAGTGTTAAGATGTGTATAAGTGTTTCAATGTGTATAAGTGGGTTTAGATGTGTATAAGCGTGTCTAGATGAGTATAAGTGTGTTTAGATGTGTATAATTGTGTATAAATGTGTGTAATTATATGTAAATGTGTGTAAAGTGTGTGTAATATATGTGAAGTGTATAATTGTGAATAAATGTGTATAAGTTTATAGGCGTGTTTAAGTAGGCATAAGTGTGTGTAAGTTTGTATAAGCGTTTATAAATGTATATAAAATTGTATACATGTGCATAAAAGTGTATACATGTGTGAGAAAATGTATAAAAGTTTATAAGTCTGTTCAGACGTATAGAAGTGTTTAAGTGTGTATAAATGTATATAAAATTGTATACATGTGTATAAGCGTGTACAAGTGTGTTAAATGTGTATGAAATTGTATACATGTGTATAAACGTGTACAAGAGTGTTTAGATGTATATAAAGTGAATAAGTGTTATAAATGTATATAAAATTATATACATGTGTATAAATGTGTACCATTATGTATAGATGTGTATAAGTATGTATAAACGTGTTAAAATCTGAATAAATGTATATAAGTGTGTATAAGTATATATAAATATATATAAAATTGTATACATGTTTTTAAAAGTGTAAACACGTGTATAAATGTGTTTAGATATGTGTATATATAAATGTGTTTAGATGTGTGTAAGTATGTATAAGTGTGTATAAATGTGTAAAATTGTTTATAAAAGTGTATAAGCATACGAATATTGGCAAGTCCAGACTAATATTGGCCAGAACAAACCAATATTGGCTAGACCAGACCAATATTGGCCAGACCAAACCAATATTGGCACACGATACTAATATTGGCCACACCATACCAACATTGGCCAAACCATACCAATATTGGCAAGACCTCCTAATATTATTTGCAGAAATAAGTTGAAATAGAGTAGAAATTATTTTAGTAAATTATGTGTGATAATCACATTTAAACTGGCAGTATGATTTTTGAGTTATATTTCGATTTGATTGTATATTTATTATAATATGTGTACGACTTTTATTTTTTCTATAGGTAGTATGATAGTTAGTGGTTAAGCCAGTTTTATTTGTATAGTATTCATCAATTATATTATTTCTCTTTTTTCTTTTATATTTTGTTGATTAGGTATTACATAGCACAAGTTTAAGCGTTTTTTAATCTAAGATAGGTTCTAATATTACTTTTGAATACGTTAGATCCACTTTCGACTTAGATATTGTTTTACATCGATTATAGATATCTTAATTTTATATCTCGTCATTGTTCTCTAATTTTTATCTAACAATTAGTGTTAAGTACAAAAAAATTCAATAATGTACCTAATATCAGAATCTTGATTCTTAGACTTTGTTAATACATTGTCAACTTCAAATTCAGAAATATACAACGTATATATATATATATATATATATATATATATATATATAAGCCCTAAATACACTTAGGTATTTATAAATTCCATCTAAAATGGAATCTGATAACAACTTGATAGATTTCTGTCCTTAAGGTGTCCGAATCATCTGTTACTTACACACTGACTTGCCAATGAATAAAACTGTGTATATAAATGTATATAAACATGTATATATGTATATAAACACGTATATATGTATACAAATGTACATCTGCGTATGCATAAGACGAAATCTAAGATTATCTTAGGAGAGACACGCCGAATTCAATTTGATATAGAAGGTGAGATGTGTCAAAGATTTCCCTATATTAATGTCATGATATTCAGACAGTTAGTTTCCCTTCAAGGAAGCCCCTTCCGACCAAAGGGGGTCCCAGGACTGCATCGTGAAGGCTTTTGGACACGAATTCTCAAAATAAGAGTAACCAATAATAATATATAACTAAGAAGATTAATTTTTATATTGCAGTAATGATGAGACAAAACTAGTCTCGAAACGTATGTAAGTATGATATTATTTAATAAATAGTGTGTTAGTATTTCGTAGGTGATGTGTATGTTTATATATGTATATATTTATGAATAATATAGTTAAAATATACTACTAGTTAATTATAAATTCCAGAAACTTTGATATGACACTTTTTGAACAAAATGAGCTGAATGTGAGAGTTTGTTTAAAAGTGTGCAAGTGTGTGTAAGCATATGTAAGTGTGTAGAAGTGTGCTTACATGTGTGAAATTTTGCATCAGTATATATGAGTGCATGCAATTAGGTGCACATGTGTTAAATTGTGTGTAAGTATATGTAAGTGTGTGTTAATATATATGCAATTGTATGTAAGTGTGTTCCAGTATTTGTAAATGTGTAAAAGTTTGTGTAAGTGTGAATAACGATGTACAAGTGTGAACAACGATGTATAAGTATGTGCAATTATATATAAGTGTGTGAAATTATATATAAGTGTGTGCAATTATGTGTAAGTGTGAGCAATTTTGTGCAAAAATGTATAAATGTGTGAAAGTTTAAGTATGTGCAATTATTTATAAGTATAAACCAGTATGTGTAAATATGTATATATGTAAAAAAGCATGTTTAAGTATGTGGCAAATGTGCGCAAATGTGTGCAAGTATGTGAAAGTGTATATAAATATGTAAATAAAAATGTGTAAATTGTGTGTAAGTGTGTCCAAGTATGTGCAAATATGTGTAAATAAATGAAAGTTTGCTTAAGTATATGCAATTATGTGTGAGTGTGTGCAAGTATATGCAATTATGTGTAAGTGTGTGCAAGTATATGCAATCATGTATATATGTAAACAAGGTTTTTTGGGTAATAAGCAAATAGTGTGTAAGTGTGTGCAAATATTTGCAAATGTCTATATTCGTATAAATGTGTGAAAGTCTATTTAGGTATGTGCAAATGTATGTAAGTGTGTGCAAACATGTACAAGTGTAAGAATGTGCATGAATGTGTATATAAATTGTGAAATTGTGTGTGAATGTGTGCAAGTATGTGCAAATATGTATATAAAAAAAGTTTTGTTTAGGTATGTGGCAGGTATGTACAAGTGTGTATAAATGTGTAAATGTGTGTACTTAAAGATTATTTAAGTATGTGTAATTGTGCGTAAGTGTGTGAAAGTATGTACAAGTGTGTATAAATGTATTTGTATGTGCATACATGTGCATATATATATATATATATATATATATATATATATATATATACTAGCAAACCCGACGAACTCCGTTTCACCACCAGATGGTTTCGTTTGAAAGATGAAGAAATTTGTTGTTTGTTTTATATTTGAAAAGGAAAAATTTGATTTTATTGCACAACAGTAATGAATTTATTTCGATTACAAAAATGAAGTATTTTTTAGTTGAACTTCTCTAAGTAAATGAAAGTGAATCCGCAAATTATCCGTTTCATTGAAGTGCTCTTTGGTAAACCACATTTTTTGTTTTTTGGTCTGACGTTAACACAAACAAAGCGAATGGTTTTCCAACTCGTGAACAGGCAAAGTATAACTGCCCATGTGAAAAACAATGATTTTCTAAATAATCTATTTGAAATTTATCCCGCAAACACTAAGCGATTGGCCTTGCGACTTGTTAATAGTCATTGCGAACGCAAGGCGAACTGGAAATTACAATCGTTTGAAGTAAAACGGAAGACCAGTCGGAATCATTGGTATGTCACCAAATCGCCAGCAATTGTTGATTGAATGGTGAAATTTAGTGCGTGTACATCATTATTCTCTGCGGCAAAATTGCTCGTTGACTTAACCAAGCATAATTCTAATAATTTTTACTAATGTCATTACTCGAATTTTTAATTACGTTGCGTAAAGTTCCAGCATTTTGCATTAAGGCACTTAGCTATAAACCTCACGGAGCCCGAGACCTTTCCAACAAATGCAAAATTGAGTTAACTCGTCAAGAAGGAAAACCCGACTTATTTTTATATACATGTAGATAAGAAAATTTGCTTAGGTATGTGGCAAGTGTGTGCAAATATGTGTAAATGTGTATAAATGTGTAAAAGGTTATTTAAGTATGTGAAATTGTATGTAAATGTGTGCAAGTATGTAGAAATGTGTATAAATGTCTTTGCATGTATATACAAAAACATTTAACCATATTTATGCATATTAAAAAATAAATAAATGAAATACATACACACATTGGTGATGTATCCACTACGTAAAAACTAACATAAAACTTCCAACCAATTACATTCTCTTCAACTGCAACCTTAAATTTTCACCTCCAACAAACCTCCATTTCACCAAATTTTAGCACCATGGCCAAATCTCTCATGACGTCACACATCATACATCGAAGGTGCACCTCATCGCCCTTCCTCATCGGAGGCGGACTGTCGTATTATTCTCGCACTTGTGCTACAACACTTTTGGGATTCGAATCCCATTATCTCGGAGATATCTCGAGAGATCTCACCTATCTATCGACAGAAAGGTACGGGGATCGAGGGGAGAGGAAAGGGTAAGGAAACTAGGCCCGTCGTACTGGCTATAGTAGAGGAATCTATTGACTTATTGTTATTGTAAGACTTATAACTTTTGAACCGTTCGATTGGTACGAATGATGCATTAGGATGATTTGTGCAGAATTAAATCATCTACAATATTGTCTTGTGCCACAATGTTCTAGAGCAGCTCGGTATACTTTAAAATCGCCTTTTTGAGAACATACCATCTGTTTCAATACTGGTATTGAGAGCGGAGCCAGCCACCCATTAACCTCGCATCTCAGAAACTATTGAATGTTCCAACTTTAAATTTTGGTCGCAATCTTGGTAAAGTGTAGTAACAATGTATGTCAAGTTTCATCAAAATCGAATTATGCATTTTTGAAAACGTACAATCTGTTTCAATACTAGTATTGAAAGCGGAGCCAGCCACCCATTAACCTCGCATCTCAGAAACTATTGAACGTTCCAACTTTAAATTTTTGGTCATGATCTTGGTAAAGTAAAGCAAAATGTATTACAGGTTTCATCAATATCGCAAATCGCATTTTTGAGAACATGCCATCTGTTTAAGTATTAGTATTGTATTATCCAAGCTAGATTTTCATAAGATTTTCTTCAGATTCTGGACAGTATCTATTTAGATTCTTACTGAAATCTTATTAGATACTAGCTTATTATGTACTAGATTCCCATAAGAGTAGTATAACTCTTATAACTTTCAAACCATTCGATTCATATGATTGAAGTATTCGACAAGCTTGCACCAAATTAAAGTAATGTATAATATTTTCTAACAACGTAAGGCTATACAGCAACTCATATACTCAGAAACGCTTTGAAACAAATTACATAATAATATGATTTATACAAAATATAAATATAATTTTATAAATATGGTTTATACAAAAAACCGACATTTCAGAAAAGCGGTTTTCGAATTTTAATTTTACTAAAAAATCAGTTTTAACCGGTTTTTAAATTTTATATAGAAAATAAATTTTTGCTCGAATATTCTGTAATTTATCCGCTAATTTAGTGTAATTTAGAATAGTATTTGACTGAATTTATTTATTGTTCAATTTTATAGATAGTAAACAAAATTATTTTAATTTTAATTAGTAGAACTAAAAAAATAGTTTATCTTGATTAAATAACTTTGAAAATAATTATTCGTTATTCATGCATCATTTTCACATATAAGAATGAAAATATTTTTATGATAGTGAAAGGAAAGTTTTCGAATAAATAAAAATAGTACATTTTGAATTAAAAAAAATCATTAAATAAAAAAAAGTATATACATGTTGATAGATACTTGTTAATATCAATTTTAGTTTTAAAATCAATTAAGCTAAACTTTTATTTCTGTTCCGAGCAATTTTAATTAATTAATTTTAAACATTCTAATTGTTTTTTGTTTAATAAAATACGATTTGAAAACATTGAGAATGTCTATCGAATTGATACTTAGACGTGTCCTTTTTTAACTCACAAAATTTTCTGAAATAGAAAATACTCTCATACTTGCGACCAAATTATGCTTAATTGTTTTTAAAGCCTAATATAATAATAATAATAAGTTTTTTTGTTCTTTTATTTGTGGCTTCTAGAGTTTAAAACTCTCTTTTTACTCTCTCTTCTACTCAAAGTAAAGGACTTCAAGAAGAAGCCACACTGATTTAAATTAATATATACATTGGTATAAAAATCTAAATTATTATATACAAAACCTTTCTTGAAACCATTGCAGATAATATATCAAATGCTATTGAAACGATATGATTTTAAGAATCAAAACGCTTTCATCTATCTTCTATATTTGACTATATTTGTCATTTTCCATTTATACAGTGAAAACCGACTTTTTCACTAAAAAACTGGTTTTAAATTCCATAATTTTCGCAAAAACCCGGTTTTTAAAACAGGTTAAACAAACTGTTGCTAAGACGTTAATAATAATGAATGGTAGTCTGCTCGAAGGCAGGTCCATGGTGTGAAAACCACGATAAATAAATGATTCCCTTACTCTTCATAGTCTATCATTCCCACTGCAACTATTTTCTACCCCTGTTTACACTTTATGTGTCTTTCCAAACTTCTACTTCCAGGCTTCCTGATCCTGCGTTTCGGCTTTCAGTTTCCTGTATTTTCCCTTCTTGCGTAAGTCGTCAATCCTCTGCATTCTTCTTCTTCTCATTCCTTTCAGTCCTTCTATTTTACCTTCGACGACGTCGCACAAGAGAACGGATCCAACCTAGTTTCCTTTTCTTTTCAGGATTGTGCTCAGTAGAGTCCTTCCTTCGCCCACACTTCTCAGAACATTGTTAACTTGTCTGTACAAACCTCAAGAACTCTTCAAAATATTCAAGAGCATCGAAACATGTGTTTCAAGAACTTTTACCTTATTAATTTATCCACAATTCTTACAGCAACTCGGTATACTTTAAAACCCCATTCAAAAATCATGTATTATACTCAGAGTGTTTGAACCTAGACCTAATACTATTATCTAGTTAGTAGATTTTTTTTCTAACATTTAACATTAATTCATGCATTAACTGGAATATACTGGCATAAACAGATTAAAATGAGGGCGATGAAATATTACAGGCCTGAGGTTTTGATGAAAAAGTTTATTAGAACCAAAAAGAAATCCTTTTAATAAAAATTAAAGGAAAAGGGACTGTTTAAACACAGCTACCCTTTTAAATAAGGTTCAACATTAAATATACATGTTTATATATATATATATATATATATATATATTAGGGTGGTCCTTAAAATGGTCATTTTTGAATTTCCTTGCTCCCAGGGGCTCAAATGGTTCCAAATAGATAAAAAACAATTCTCTGAAAGTTTTAGCTCTTAATATTAACGTTTAGATAGAGCGCAATTCAATCAAAGTTTTGTATGGGAATAGCATAAAAAATTTTTCAAAAATTTTAAAAATGTGTTTTAGATGTAATTTAGCGAACAAATGAATAAATAAAACTCATTTATTTGTCGCTAAGTTATAACTAAAACATTTTTTTTTAATTTTCAAAATTCTTTCCATGCTCTTTCCATACAAATTTTGATTGAATTGCGCTCCATCTAAACGTTAATATTAAGAGCTAAAACTTTCAGAGAATTGTTTTTTATCAATTTGGAACCACTTGAGCCCCTGGGAGCAAGGAAATTCGAAAATGACTATTTTAAGGACCACCCTAATATATATATATATATATATATATATATATATATATATATATATATATATATATATATATATATATATATATATATATATATGGAACAAGTTTTAATCGTATTTAGCTGTACTTTAATGTTTCTGAACATCTGTTGATATCAGAAATGGGGAAACAACCCCTACGTTTTATAAATATATACACATTTATATATTACATATATATATATATATATATATAAATATATACATGAGTACATATATACATAAATGATGTCAACTGTTGATATGTAATTGTTGAATTTCCAATCTGTTGATTGAACAATTGTAGGATTCATGAGTAAGAGCAGATGTATATTATATATATATATATATATATATATATATATATATGTATATATATATATATATATATATATGTATATATGCACTGTGAAACCCCGTTAAGACGATTTCTCAAAAAATCGTCTTTTGCGAGATAGTATATTATTTTGTCTAAAAATACGAATAATGAAAGTTACAACATTTATAATAATCTATTTCAAAGCATTTAATATTCCTCGCATATTTCATTACGGTATAGAAAGTTCTAGCAATTTGCCTTAAGGCACGATACCATACACCACTAGTTTATTTATGTCAATTGTGTAATAAAATGAATCGTGAAAAACTGATTCCATTCATAAAAATGTATTTCTGTTGTAGTTTTTGCAATTGTTTGTAAAAGAATTGTATACTAGAGAATAACTGCAATAATATTGGCTTAAATGTTGAGAAGTCTATTTGTCTACCATCTAGATCACTCTGAATTCGATTGAATGCTATTATTTATAAAGAAACTTATCCCTAATTCAAGTGTTAATTAACTGAATGTATTTTACATGAACGATTATGAAAATATAAATATTCTGTCCATGCAAACAGTGCAGATACGAAACAAATTTAGGCTGAAACGTATCTGCAGACATTTAGTAATTATACAAATACAAGGTAAAATGTTTTGTTAAATTATTTTATTTTAGAATACATTTTAGATACAATACATAAAAAAATTTATTTCTAAATATCATTTGGTTGTTTTAGTTTGCAGTAGTTCAACAATTTCTTTATATTCTCCTTCAACAGCAAGGTCCATCGGCGTCTTGTTATTGGTATTTGCTACATCAGGATTTGCGCCTTTGTTTATTAATAGTTGGACGATATTTTTGTGACCCTTATAGGTTGCCCAGTGCAGTGGGGTCCAATTATTTAAATTGCGAATATTTACAATAGCGCCTCGACTAATCAAAGACTGCACTACCTCCAAGTGACCATTTTGAGATGCGATGTGCAATGGAGTCCAATTTGTGTGACTAGCGGCATTGACATTGGAACCTTTATTAATAAGAAACTGCACTACCTCCAAATGACCTTTTCCAGATGCGACATGCAGTGGAGTCCAATTTTTGTTATCAGGGGCATTAACATTGGCGCCTTTGCTAATCACAAACTGCACTACCTCCAAATGACCATACATGGATGCGATGTGCAATGGAGTGCAATTTGTGTTACCAGTGGCATTGACATTGGCGCCTTTACTAATCAGAAACTGCACTACCTCCAAGTGACCCTTTTGAGATGCCATGTGCAATGGAGTCCAATTTGTGTTATAAGCAGCATTGACATTGGTGCCTTTACTAATAAGAAACTGGACTACTTCCAAGTGGCCATTTTGAGATGCGATATGCAATGAAGTATAATTTTCATTAATAACTGCATGGACATTTGCGCCTTTATTAACCAAAAACTGCACTACCTCCAAATGACCATTCATAGATGCGACGTACAATGGAGTCCAATTTGTATTATTAGCGGCATTTACATTGGCGCCTTTACTAATCAGAAATTGCACTACCTCCAAGTGACCATTTTGAGATGCAACATACAATGCAGTACAATTTTCATTATTAACAGCATTGACATTGGAGCCTTTGCTAATCAGAAACTGCACTAACTCCAAATGACCTTTGTGGGATGCGATGTGCAATGGAGTCCAATTTACTTTTTCAACAGCATTGACATTTGCGCCTTTATTAACCAAAAACTGCACTACCTCCAAGTGACCATTTTGAGATGCGATGTGCAATGGAGTCCAATTTGTGTTATTAGCAGCATTGACATTGGCGCCTTTACTAATTAGAAACTGCACTACCTCCAAGTGACCATTTTGAGATGCGATGTGCAATGGAGTCCAATTTGTGTTATTAGCAGCATTGACATTGGCGCCTTTACTAATTAGAAACTGCACTACCTCCAAATGACCATTCATAGATGCGACGTACAATGGAGTCCAATTTGTATTATTAGCGGCATTTACATTGGCGCCTTTACTAATCAGAAATTGCACTACCTCCAAGTGACCATTTTGAGATGCAACATACAATGCAGTACAATTTTCATTATTAACAGCATTGACATTGGAGCCTTTGCTAATCAGAAACTGCACTAACTCCAAATGACCTTTGTGGGATGCGATGTGCAATGGAGTCCAATTTACTTTTTCAACAGCATTGACATTTGCGCCTTTATTAACCAAAAACTGCACTACCTCCAAGTGACCATTTTGAGATGCGATGTGCAATGGAGTCCAATTTGTGTTATTAGCAGCATTGACATTGGCGCCTTTACTAATTAGAAACTGCACTACCTCCAAGTGACCATTTTGAGATGCGATGTGCAATGGAGTCCAATTTGTGTTATTAGCAGCATTGACATTGGCGCCTTTACTAATTAGAAACTGCACTACCTCCAAGTGACCATTTTGAGATGCAAAATACAATGCAGTACAATTTTCATTATTAACAGTATTGACATTTGCGCCTTTATTAACCAAAAACTGCACTACCTCCAAGTGACCATTTTGAGATGCAGCGTGCAATGAAGTCGAATTTCGTTTATTAGCAGCATTGACATTGGTGCCTTTACTAATCAGAAACTGCACTACCTCCAAATGACCATTTTCAGATGCAGCATATAATGGCGTCCGTCGTTTATTGTCGATAGCTTCAATATTCGCTCCTCTGTCGATCAGTAGTTCAACTACATCCTTAAATCCATTCGTGGAAGCAAAATGAAGTGGTGTCAACTTGTCATCACATTCGGCATCTATTTTGGCTCCAAGGTTTATCAAGTGTTTAATCCTTGTTAATTCTCCATTATGTGCCGCAATGTGCAGAAGGGACCAATTTTTATTGGTAATATTGTTTATTTTAGTATTTCTATCCAATAAAAGTGAAGATACTATTTGTTTATTTTTATCGACTGTAATATTTGCAGCTTTTTTCTCAGTAATTTTTATTTTTTGCTCCTCACTTTGCCCTATAAACAAAATTTATTGTGAAATGTGTAGTAAGTTTTTATTAGGTCAAAAATTCAATACAGGGTTATACTTTTTCATATTAAACTTAAAAGAGAAAACAATATTTTCACCTGTAACTATTCGAGATGGTCGCGGTTGGTTAGATATATCCACGCTCTTCGCAATTTTGTCCTTGCTTTTGCAGAAACCCATTTGGGTTGCCAATATCCTGACAACATCCAGAAATGTTTTGCCTTCCTTGTTGATACCATCGCAGATTGCTCCTTTTTTGAGGAGCAAATATATCAGTCGATCGGAGTTCTTCTTGGCGCCTACGTGCAGGGCAGTATCACCATCATCATTTTGCGCGTTTATATTTATTTTCCACTTTTCCAATAATAGTTCCTGAACTATTTCATACCTGTCTTTTTCCACAGCACAATGCAGGAGTGTATTGTTTTTATTGGTTTCATCCACAATATTTGATGAATGAACACTGCAGGAATTGAGTAGACTTTGGACTTTTGGCAAATCGTTATTCCTGATGGCATGAAAGATATCTTTTTGTTGCACATCTGCAGGTGACTTTGGCAGATTACTTGCCATTGTAGATGAGAAACTTTTTCATTTACATTATAACCATTTATATTTTTTATTTATCCCTAGACTTCTCACAATTTGACTTTGCACAATGTGAGAAGTACGCATTTACTTATATATCTAATAAATTTATCGTTATCATATCAGTCGTGCAAATTGTCGATTGATAAAAGTAATCAAGCCGGTGCTGGCCAACATGCGGCAATAGTAGAATGGAATTATCAATGATTGCCAAGGTGTTCTCGTTCTAAATCTAGATATGTCCTCACTGGATATTTAAAAATATGTAGCAAAGGAACAAAGTTAAGAATATACTTAAGTACAACAATTGATGAATTTTCATGAAATTAATACTGATCATTTTTAACTTGCCATTTTGTGGTATTTTTGGCAAAGGCAAATGTGCAAAAAATGTCAGTTTTCGAGAGAACTAAGCATCCGATTTGCATGATTCAAAAAACTTTTTGCTTGTGTTAAAATAACGATTGTTTTAGGGGAAAACACTTCAAAATTAAAAAAAAAGCAATCCAACAATAAGCAAAATAGGTTTTTCACAAATACTAGGAAATAAATATTGTCCATCGCAGAGTTATAATTGAAATGTTTCCGTAGTTAAAAATATTTTAAAATCGATTATTCCAACGGATGGGTGGTGAGTGGGTTGCGAAAGACGAAAGAGCAAGTATATTTTTCCCAATGGGTATAAATCTATTCGGGCTCATTGATTTTATTATAATGGATATATATATATATATATATATATATATATATTTATATATATATTTATATATAATAATTTTGTGCACCCGTTTGGATCCTGCGCTCCTAGTAAAATGACATCATGCAGCAGTAATATACGTTGCCATTTATTCGAACCTTTAAATAAAAAAAAATTGTTCCAGTAGGATTAGCGATATAAAATGTCATTGATGGAAATATGCGTTGTTAGAGTTTAGCTCCATGCATGGACCTGCCTTGGTAAAAAACAGATATATAATCATATATAACTATTTATTACTAGTATTTTCATTAAAATAATTATTTGTTTAACGTTTTGGTAGACGTATCAAGCTTTTTTTTGAACTTCATGAATGTGGTGTTTATATTTTCGCCAGGAAATTCGATTAGCTAATTTTATGTAGTCTCGACGAGTCATTCTGATTCGTTTAGATAATAATTTTGTCTTTGTTACGAAATTGGAAAAAGTATGGGTGTGTAAGCCATGATCTGCTATTCCGTCTACATTTTGCTAAAAAAAATCAAAATAAAAAAAATCTAAATTTTTCAAAATTAATTTTTTACCAAAAATTTCAAAATTCTAAAAAATCACATAATTCAAATATTTTAAAAGCTTTTCTAAAAATTTTATTTTTCGGTACGGTATTAATTATAGTAATTAACATCCTTGCCGCACTCCACTTCCAGTACAATAAATATATACATATATAAATTGTTTTACTCTGAAGATGTACTCGTAACATTTTCGAAACGAGAGAAAATATCAGTTTGGAACTATTTTGGCAAACTGAATAATATTTTAACTTTATATATATATATATATATATATATATATATATGTATATAAATACAATGTGTATAGATAAGTATATAAACTGTGAGACTCCCCTTTGTGTATTAACACCCTAACCAGCTCCCTCTACACGCGTAAAAGATAACACGATTTTGCAGGGTTTGCAAACATTTTATTAGAAAAAAAACATATATATATATATATATATATATATATATATATATATATATATATATATACATATTAGGGTGGTCCTTAATATGGACATTTTCGAATTTCTTTGCTCCAAATGCTTCCAAATGATTAAAAAATAAATCTCCAATAGTTTTAGCCATTAATATTAACATTTAAATAGACCGTACTTCAATTAAAAGTTTCATATATTTATTATTAACATATGTCATTAAAAAAATTCTTGCGCTATCTGTGATAGCAGACTTTGTAGTTTTGATATCAATTTATTACTGATATATTGAGTGTCTACATCACCAATAAAATAATTACTTTGCTGCAAAATTAATTTTGATGCCATGATATATAAATATTTCATTAAACAGCTCACGTGGATTTAATTAAAGGTTAAGTAAATTACAAATATTCTTAATTGTCATAATATTTGAGTTCACAAATCCTATCACAGATAGCGCAAGAATTTACATAATGACATATGTTAATAATAAATATATGAAACTTTTAATTAAAGTGCGTTCTATCTAAATGTTAACATTAAGAGCTAAAGATTTTTGAATCATTCAAATCGGATGCTTAGTTCTTTCAAAAACTGAAATTTTTTGCATATTTAGCTCGGTATCTCCAAAACGGATGGACCTGCCTTTGCCAAACCACTAATCACCACTTCTCCCAATCATTACTAATTGAATGTTTTTTCGATCATTCAAAGCGGATACTCCGTTCTCTGAAGAACTCGATTTGTATTTTCTGCACTCTTTGCTCCGTATCTCCGTAACGGCTGGACATGCCTTTGCCAAAAACTAATCAGCACGTCTCCCTATCAATAGGAATCGAATGTTTTTTTAACCATTCAAATCGGTTGATCCGTGAGCCCGAATTCGTGGACGAAAAATTTTATCCATACATACATACGCACACACACGTCCACTTTTTCTGAGGTATGCCAACGTAAAGATATGCAAAAATTTTCAATCACAATTTTTGGACGATTACAATAACTTATTCTACGGGAAGTTAAATATAATGTTGAATTAAGAAAGTAAAATGAATCTTTTGGCACTAATCATAATTCTTAACTTTAGATTTGTTTTTTCCTAATTGAAAAATCTTATTTACTTTTTATTAAATTTTATTGTATTGCATTTTTCCCATGTTTCAAATTATTTCATTCCTCTACTACTTTCATGTTTTTAAAGTTCACTTTTTACTTCTCAAAATTGCTATTTTGTGCTTCTCTGGGTCTTGGTGCCTGTTTTCTGGTTCCTATATCGACTAAAAATATCCACATCACACTACATCCATCATAATATTTGTTTCTTCAAAATTGTTGTAGTAAAACTTCTTTAGGCGCGACTAGGGTGTAAATCCGTACAAATGCAACAGAAGTGAGTTACGGCAGAGTCGAGTACCAATGATTCGTCATTCGCTCTCGATAAAATCATTTCTATACTGGTCGATTGTGATTAGTCGTCGTGTATGTGAATAGAGATCTGTCGTTGTATGCGTACCGGTATCAACGTTGTATGCGTACCGATATCAACAAGGAAATCAAGATAAATAAACATTTTAAAGTTACATCGTACTAAAAATCTTGATTTAATGAAAAATGCCTGAATCAGAAGAATATTTTACCTTGTGCCTTGAAAATAATAAAACAAATTAAACATTTGTGCCGTGTAATAAACGAAAGTTTACTGATTAGAAATTACTTCTATATTATTCGTAGTTTGTATAAATCTTTGAAGTTATTAAAATAGAAAATATTTTTTAGGCAAGACACATATTACAGCTGTTCAAAAAATGAGATTATATCGCCAGCGAAAAGTAAAAAACATACAAGCAGTCAATGAATGTATGTTAATTTTAATTACATGAAGTTCTTCAAACACAATTACATGATGAGTGATATTGCGAAAACAATATTTGTTTAGGCGTTGTTTAACATAATCCACTGAGTGAACAAATATTATAGAATTTATTAAGCAGCAATTACTTCAATTCTCTAATGAAGGTTCATTTCTAAATGCAAATTACAATGACAAATCGATCATGTCATATTTGAAGTATGACTTTAATTACATTATTGTCTTTAAATATTATACACATTTTTAATGCTATTATATATATAATTTATAATTTATTATTATATAAATGTGTATAGTAGTTGAAACTAATAAATGTGCGCATCATGAGTGTTACCATATTACTAATAAACATTATTCAAATATGATGTATTTATTTTCACTTAACTTAAAATTGCTTCTTTGTATAGTAGCAAATAAGTTTTACTTCAATCGCGAGTGATCCTTACGCGCACTCTTTTTCCCAAGGTTTTCCTCCCCTGTCCTCACAAACTACCACACATCCACACTTCTCTAGCACGCGCCGTTTGCGCACACACACACTTGTAATCCCGACGTTTCGTACAAAACGTGCCCCCTCTCTCAGGGAAAACATCCCTTGCATTATATTCCGAATTTCGTTTGCCATCCACTCGACAGTCGGTAGCGAGCAGCCGAAGGGGTAGGACCTGTCTTAACTTTCTCAACTTTTTCCAACTTTCAACAATCTAACATCGAAAATTTTTACGAACTCAACTTCTGTCTTGACAACTTCTTCTTGGTAGTAGAAATCTGTGTGTCTTGGTTAAAAAAAATTGGTAAAATTTGGTAAAAAGTGGGAATTTAAGTTTTTCAAAGTGGAAATTGATTTTTTTTTAATTTAAAGTAATATTTAAAGGTTATAAATCAAGCAATAAAAATTAAATGAAGCAATAAATAAAAAAGTTGTAGCTGATTGAAGATGAAACTTGTACGCATTCTGGAAACGGACATTGTGGTGCTTAACAACTTCAAAAAAAAATTAACAAAAATTTAAAAACATAGTGTTTTAACTTTAAAAATAGTTAATATAATTTATTAAAATATTTAACAAGCAATAGCAACAAATTTTAACAACATCAAATTTTAACAACGAAACTTGTACGCATTTTGCAACAAGTGCATCTTTTGTTTAATAAAACCTTAAATTTCAAGTGTAAATGATAAAAACAAAGCAACTAAATAAATAAATTAATTATTAGCAATATAAGTAAATACATATTTGAGTTAAAAACTACATGTTGTTGGGAAAATTTTGAAAACAACAACAATTTTCTATCAAACAAGTACGCACTCTGAAAATTTGAAGAATTAGGCGAATGCACTGGCAATTTCACCAAAAAATTTCAAAAAGCAATAAAAAATTATAACTTTAACAAAATTAAAAAAAACATATAGTGAAA